GAGCTTTTTTTTACTTTTCTTCGTTCTTTTTTGGCTTCTTTCTTATCTCTTGCTCTTGAAAAAATTATTTTGATTTCAGGCAAAGCCATCCCGAGATTGGGCGGCACCTCCAAGAGTTGCAGATGAGAGTATCGCCTACATAGAGTATTCTTGTGATCGCGAAGGTGCTGTGAAAGGTGTGTGCATATCGCGACAGGCGATGCTAGCTCATTGTCGAGCTATCACGGCAGCGATGGACTATAAGCAAGGTAAATTTCGTGAGTTTGAGAAGTTATTTTGTCTTTAGAAAATCACATGTATAAACATCCCCATACTAACTCTTCCTTTTTTTCTGAAGGTGAAACCATGATTTGTGTGCTGGATTTCAAGCGAGAAGCTGGTCTTTGGCATGCAGTTCTTGCGGCTGTGTTCAATGGAATGCGAGTAGTATTTGTACCGTATTCTTTGATGAAAATCAATCCAGCAAGTTGGATGCTTATGGCGACGAAGTTGCAAGGTCAGTCATTTTCAAAATTTCGTGTTCATTCATTATTTTTCAACTTTTAGCTTCCGTTGCTTTGGTAAAGTCGCGAGATCTTCATTGGGGTCTCTTAGCCACTCGCGATCACAAAGATGTCAACTTATCCTCTCTCAAATCCTTACTAGTAGCTGATGGAGCAAATCCATGGTCGTTGTCATCTTGCGATCAGTTTGCTGCCACATTTGCCGCACATGGGTTAAGGCCCGAAGCGATGTGTCCGTGTTCCGGGAGTTCGGAAACGGGAACAATTTCTTTGAGAAAGTGAGTTAATTACTTACCCCGCTCTTACTTTTGATATCCAGTTAGCATCATCTAGCAGTTTCAGGCGTACCTCGAGTGGAAGTGGTAGCAGTGGACGAGGAATTTTGTCCATGGCTGCGTTGAGTCATTCAGTTGTCAGAGTGGATAAAGAGAACTCACTCACGAGCTTGACACTGCAGGTAAAGTCGCAGGCTTTTTTTTATCATTCATACAGGGTGTCCCAAAACAATGTATCGAACG